GCTTTGTGGTAGACCCGGGATAACCCGCCCCTCGCCTTACCCGGTAAAAAGCGTAGCAGATTGGAGCGCCCTGGTGGGTCAGTGAGGACTTGTTTCTAACCCCTTTCCTTTAAAAACAAACACACACGCACCCCTAGGCGTCCTGCGGCACCTTACAGACTAATAATAGAAACGTAGCCGTGTTAGTCTGGGGTAGCTGAAGTAAAATGCAGGACTATGTAGCACTTTAAAGACTAACAAGCTGGTTTATTAGATGATGAGCTTTCGTGGGCCAGACCCACTTCCTCAGATCAGGAAGTGGGTCTGGCCCACGAAAGCTCATCATCTAATAAACCATCTTGTTAGTCTTTAAAGTGCTACATTGTCCTGCATTTTGCTTCACTTACAGACTAACAGATTTATTTGGGCATAAGCTGTCGTGGGTAAAAACCACTTCAGTCAGATGCATTCCAGGGAAGTGGGTTTTACCACGAAAGCTTATGCCCAAATAAACCTGTTAGTCTTTAAAGTGCCACAGGACTCCTGGTTGCTTTTGCAGATACGGATTAACATGGCTAGTGGTTACCTCTCTGAGACTTGTCCTTTTCCCTAGTCAGAGAGGTGTAGGGGCAGCAGGAAGGGATCCCATGTCAGTCCCATGCCTGGCATGCTGCGTGTCTCCAGTGCCCATAGGGTAAAACCTGAAACACCCCTCCCTAGCCGTGGTAGAAACCCAATGCTCTTCTAGGGGCGTTGGTACCATAGGAAAGGGAGGATCCTTTTGGATTTCCTGGGGGAGAGTTTGTGCAGTTGAAAAGGAAGTTTGTCCATATCAGTGTTATCTTTTTGTAATAATTCTTTTTTTGTTGCTTCATCAACTTGGCTGGCTGTGCTATCAGCAAAAACAGAATGTTATAAAAATATTTGCTTAATCCAGAGGATTTATTATGACAATGTATAATGCTTCAAAAATCAATATTTACCTAGCTTGTTTGTTAAATTTGTTGTTAATTTAGTGTCTTTTGTGTGTGTGTGTGCAGGTAAAGTTTGATACTGGGGTATTGCTACTTAGCACACACCGACTGATCTGGAGAGATCAGAAAAATCATGTAAGTATTCCGTCGGTTCTTGTATATGGGTTAACTGTAAATTCCACAGTAAACCATAGCTAACTTTTAGTGATACAACTCTGCAGGAACTAATTTTTCTGTGATTAAGCTTTTTTCCTCCCTGTGTCAGGTGCCTTATGCTCAAAACATAGAAAAGCAATGGTAGTATGATCAACTGAGTCTGGAAGTTTTAAGATAATTTGTGAACTTGTTCATAGCTCACTTAGTAACTCATTTGTTTTTCCTTATTCCCCCAACTATTCACACAGATCAAAAAACAACAGAGAAGAGACAGGAAAAAAAAGACCCCCAAACTAGCAACACCCAAACAAGCCATATAAGAAAATCCACACTGGGTCAGACCATGGTCCATTTAGCCCAGTAACCTGTCTTTAACAGTAGCTTGTACCAGATTCTTCAGATGGAATGAACATAGTAGGGACTTTTGCTATACATGGAGCAGTTGTTTTCAGGGAAATGTCCGTGATGACTCCCAGAACTCTTTCTTGAGTGGTTACTGTTAATTTAGAACAGGGCAGGGCAGAGGCTTGGGGTGTAGGAAGAGGTTCAGGACTAGGATAGGGTTTCAGGATGTGGGCACCAGATGGGCCTTGCTTACCTCAGGTAGCTCGTGGGTGGTGGTACAGTGGAGCTAAGGCAGGCTCACCCTTGTCCTGGCCTTGCACCACTCCCAAAAGCAGCCAGCAAACTCTATCCCAAGTCCTGCTGTGCCCCCTCTCTGCTCTGGGGAGATAGGGCACAGGGTGAGCGAGGGGACATCTTGATATCAGCACCCCTCCCCTCCCCTGCACAGAATGCAGAGACTCCTGAGGGAACGGCTCCAAAGCAAAGAGCAGGAGATGTGCAGCAGTCTGTGGGAGAGAGCTGAAGTGCTGGGCTTGATAACCTCTTGGCCAAACCAGTTAGGATCCCCCTGTCAGAGGTTTCAAGATCTACTGGTTGGTGACCACTGCTCTAGGTCATCTGGCATTGGCTGCTGTTGGAAGTCAGAATCCTGGGCTAGATGGACCTTTGGTCTGACCCATTATGGCCGTTCTTATGTAAAGCACTACAGTGGCAGCATTTTAAGTGTAGACTTAACTGTAGTCTCTCCTCTTTTACCTGAGGAACTCCCATGCAAAATTCCCTGTTTCTGTGTGCTATCTATCTACATGACATAAAAGCAGATATTAATTAGAGAGATTAATTAGAGATTAAATTTCAGCATATAAAAGTCCTTCCAATAAACATGGTAGTGTTATTAACTTCACAGTTTAATTGTAGATCCCTAGATATAATCCAAGAGCAGTTTCCATATGTTTTCACATAAATCTCCCTTATACTGTTTACAAGGCTTTGGGTCAGAGCCTTGAAATGTCTCTGAGAGCAGAATACTACCAAGGAGGGGATCTTATCCCATAAATCTATTTCCCATTTTCTTATTCTCACTCTAAAAAGCATGAGAACAATGTGGGATGGGGCAGCAGAACTCCCTAAAACTAGTCAAAATGCTGACAGAAAATTAAACAGAGCTGATGAAGTCCTCCGTTTTGTTCATGCTCTGTCTCTGTTATCTCTTTCTCACATGGTATCAAAGTGATGTTACTTGTAAAAGAACAATTTATACAAGTATTGCATATAAAACAACTATGTCAAAAGAACGTTAGTAAGATTACAAAGTCAAGCACTCTGGAATGCCAGAATTAAGGTTGCCCCTGCAATCTTAATTTGGCCCTCTTTGTGAGTGTGTATTATGAGAGTCTTTAAAACACATGTCCATGTACTTGAAGTTAAACCTCTCAAGTCTGGCATTCACGGGACCTAACAGGTGCCAATTCAGAGAATTTGCTGGACCATGGGAAGTTAATATTATAGCTAGTAGGTTTCTTTTTCTTTTTATTTTATTGAAGTGAATAAGTGGAACAGTGCTTACAATCATCATCATTGTCAACCACCATGCGCTCAACACCCATTGGTGTCCGATGACTCCCTCACTATTTCCTTCCATCTTTCCCTGTCCAGTGCAGAGTAGTTTAGTTTCTGTAGACTAGCTCCACACCAATTTACTGTATCATCTACCCATTTTCTGTGGGGTCTGCCTCTCCTATTCAGACTATCCATTATTCCAAATACCAGGGTCTTAACTTTTCCCTCATCATTCATTCTGCATGCTATTTAATAATGTCTGACTGTAGTGATACACTCTATATAATCCTATGCCTACCCAAAGGTTATCAGCTTTCTTCATAGCAAAGTATTAGTGTTGTTTGTTAGTATTGTTACATCATTTTACTGTATTGGCACAAGAAAACATGTAGATAAAGTATAAAAACATGCTTACATTTAGCAGCATTACCAATACTTCCACTGCTTGCTGGGCTCTTAGAAGACATTTAGAGGTAAATTAGAGCTAAATAATAGCACAGAACACTGAGAGCCAGGACTGGTGTCAGTAAACAAAGTTTGTGAGGCTGCAGGAAACTTGGCCGCATCCATGATAAGCGGACATCCAACTAACTAAAATCATGCTGGACCACACATGTTGCCAGACTAGAGAGGTTTAACCTGTTTTTTTTTTTTACAGTTTCTACTAAGCAACTGTAAACTGCAATTTTTCAAAAGCTTGCAACTTGAACAAGTATCGCAAGGTTGGCAAACAGCGTATCTCTCACCCAAATTTCAAGGCCTTATTCCACAAGATAGGGTTCCCAGAGCTGTTTAAAGAAAAGTCTCCAGAATTTTTTAACATGGGCAAAACTGTACTTTTTCCACAGCCTAGTTCTAGGAAATAGCTGAACTGTTTTCACTGACATTTCCAAAATAATTCAACCTGAGGGAGACAGCACAAGAAATTTCAGCCCAAATGGTTAGGTATGGCAGATTTATAAGCATCAGAAAACAGGATCTTATAATGGGAAATGTCAGGCAACTTTAGTAATAGCTTTATCAATAATTATTTTTAGATAATTGATCGTCTGTGAAAACAAAACTGTGACAAACAGCAGCCTCTGTTTTATAGATGCCGTATTGTCACGTACCATATATATTTGGTCTTTCCCGGAAAATGCTGTGATTTTCAAAATACTAAATACTGAATTTTTCTTAGTTTGAAATGTAGCTGTGTAGTTCTAAACTAGTGGGTAATGAGAATGTTGAAAATAAATACAAATTAATTCTGTGATCTCAGACTCCCACTGCACTCTTCAGCCAGCTGTCCATATGTATAGCCTTTTGATTCTTTATCAGAAAATAGTACCAGTGTGATGTAATGTGTAAGGAGACCTTTACAATTCTAGTCTCTTCACCCATTTTGGATTTAAGAATGTAAAAACAGGGATATCTACAAGAAGTAATTGTTACCTTTTGTCATTATCTTTGCCTACCTGTTGCGAGTGTGTAAGATCTTTGTAGTGTAGCTTGTAACTTGAACAAGTATCACAAGGATGGCAAACTGCATCTCTCTCACTCAAACTTCTAGTCCTTGCTCCACAAGATAAGGGTCCCAGAGCTGTTTAAAGATAAGGCTCCAGAATTGTTTAACATGTGTCTTACTTGTATGTGAAGCACCTAATTCTTTGTGGCTGCTCTGCAAATAATAAAATTGTATGCCACGTAGAATGCCTAGAAATCCAGTGGCTGAGTTAAGGACATTGTATTAGTCCTAAAGCCCTTACTGATCTGGTTATCTAACAATTATAACTTTTTAGTTTTCTGTTTAAATTCCTTTTTAAACAAGTAGTGCAGGGATAATTTTATATTGCAGCCAGCATCATCTTCTATATGAAATGGCTTATGGGAGAACTACCTACATATGTTAGTGCCGTTGACTTTTTAATTTATTAAAAGAAAACAAAAATGTATTTTTACAACTCTTTCAAGAAAATAGTTCTTAATTTCTAGTCACTGTGTTGTGTTGCTTATTCTAGGAATGCTGCATTGCTATCCCTCTTTCTCAGATTGTCTTCATTGAAGAGCAGGCAGCTGGGATAGGAAAAAGGTAAGATGTGTATCTCTTTTACTTGGGAAATTTAGGCATAGAAAATGTGATGTGTTCAAGATCGCACAAGAAGTCTGTGGTAGAGCCCAAGAATGTAACCAAGATGTTTGGTCTCATGGATTGTGAATCAGTTCCTCCTCTCTTACTATAAGATACAAGGATCAAATGGCTGAGAGGGTCATTAGGAAAAATTGTATGTGTGTGACTTGATTTGCTAAATAATTGTCCTATAATCTGTGATTAAGTTTGTGATTCAGTCTTCTGCTTCATAGCAATGAATGTTTGAATTTATCTCCCTTAGGGTACGTCTACACTGCATGCTTATTTCAGAATAAGCTATTTCAGAAGAAATACTCCAAAACATCTTATTTCAAAATAGCATGTCTACTCTACAGGGAAGTTTCGAAATTAGTCTAAGGCAGGCTCCCCTAATGTGGACATGTTACCTCAATTTAGAGCCCCAGGAAGCACTAGTAATTACTTTGAATGGCCCTGGGGAGGAGCTATTTCAAAATAGCAGCAGTGGAGCATCCACACTATAGCTATTTCGAAATAGCAGTTTCGGAAGAGGCATTATTCTTCATGGAATGAGATTTACAGAAGCTGGAATAAGCCTCCCATTATTCTGAATTTATTTCGAACTAACAGAATTGCTGTGTAGTCACTTGCATTATTTCGGAATAACAGCCGTTAGTTATTCCGAAATAGAGCTGCTGTGTAGACGCACCCTTAATAACCAGTGCCATGGTGATAGGCTAGTGTTCAAATTTAGGTTTCAGGCCAAGTCTCTTGCTCTGCAAAGGCTGGTTGGGGGTAGGAACTAGCAGAGGAGTATACTGATCAATTCCTAGCAGCTGTAACTTATACTACCATCTAACTGATTCTGAAGGAGAGACCAATAACTGGAATAGATATGTATGCAACAAGAAACAAATTAACACAGAAGGAAAAATAAAGCTTTTATGAAGAAGTATGTCTGGTATACATCTGCTTATGCCCTTGTCTTGTCCTGTATGATACGAGCAGATTAAGTCCCTTCAGGCTGCAGGAAGACATTATCCCAATTGATAGAATCATGTGCTGGGACCAGGGAGATCTGGTTCTAGAGGAGATGGCAAAATAAGAGTATTAATAAAATAGATATATTATTAAAGCTGGACAAGAATAATAGAGTTATTGTAATGAAGTGAGATTGGGCTATTATATTTGCTGAAAGAGTGCTCTTTCATGAGTTGTTTTGCTGTTGGTCATCATTCTAGATCTAGACCATGTTGCTTTCATGCATATGTTAATCTAGAACAGGGTTAAGCCACCTTTCAGAGGTGGAGTGCTGAGATTTGACTTACTCACCTCTATGTATGCGTCCAAGTGCCGGTGATACTTTTTAAAGTCAATAATAGTCCTACATACAGAAGTTTAGTTAATAAATAAAGATGCAGCTCTTAACTTTTAGTGCAGTGATCGGCAACCTTTCAGAATTGGCGTACCAAGATTAAACTTATTCATGGATCTGTAGGGTGGGAGGAGGGGAAGAGGATGCAAGGGCGGGCTGGGTATGGTCACCATATTTTCTGAACCAGCTGCAGCAAGGGGGAACGGTTTAATTTAAATTATGAAACAGATTAAGCATTTTAATTTTAACATGTTAGTTTTTCAAACTTCATTTTAAATAAAGTAAAATATTATGTCCAACACAAAGGTTTCCATGTTTTCTTTATTTATGGCAGGGGTGGGGAAACTTTTAGGTCAGGAGTCACCCTCACTGATGTGGTCCCAACTGAGACACCTCACTCCTCTGCTGCCCCAGCCTCATGGGGTGAGGGGAAAGGAAGAGTGGGGAATGAGGTTATGGACTTCCCATAGACCAGATTTACTTTTCTGGGGTTCTGGAGTTAGTGGATTTTATGGACCTCCCTTTGACTTTGTGGTAGGAACAAAAAAGAGTGGTACAGTGTGCGAGACAAGACTGCCAGCAAGTAGGATAGGGGTGGGTGCAGAAGGGGGAGAGGTTGGGAGGTAGGGTGCAGAAGCAGGCTGGGAGTAGGGTATCTGGCCAGGTGGAGGGAGCAGGAGCAAACCAAGGTGCAGTGTGTGGCCAGGGAAGAGGGTGCAGGAGCAATGGTGGATGCAGGAGCAGCATGGGGGTCTCTAGCCAGGCCAAGGGGGAGAGCGCAGGAGCAGAATGGGGTATCTGGCCAGGAGGGAGGGTACAGGAACAAGGGAGGGTGTCGGAGCAAGCTGGAGGTGCGGGGTCTTGGCGGAGGGAGGTGAGTGAGGGGATTAAGGTGTGGGGGTCTGTGCATGAGGGAGGATCTTACTTGGCTTTATGCTCCCTTGCAGCAACAGCCATGCTGTCCTGGGCTGCCCCAAAGGGAGACTCCACTGCTGGGGCCCGCATGGTCCGGGGCCAGCCCCAGAAGCTCTGCAGCCGCTGCTGTGGCCCACGTGATCTGAGGCCAGCCCTGGAGGCCTTGCTGCCATGCGGTCCTGGGCTGGCCCCAGACCGTGTGGCTGCGGCAGAAGCATTGCGGGGCTGGCCCAGGCTCTGCTGAGGAACCTCAGCCCTAGCGCTGCCTCCTCCCACCACAGCCTAACCTACTGCATGGGGGAGGAAGGGTAGGGCTGAACTCTCTCCCGCGTGCCACTGAAAATCAGCTTATGGTACGCATGCCGTAGATTGCTGACCCCTGGTCTAGAATGTTGGTTTCGGATGAGTTCATATGAAGTATTCTTCTGCTGGCACGAATGGTGAGATAGGTTAAACATAATATTATTGAGACCATTTTGTTTCCACTACAAAGGTAGTGTGTTTTGGCAGCTGTTATGAATCACTCTAGAGTCTTTGGAGATTATGTTGCAGGTGGGAAGCCTTAATCAAAGGTACCACTTGACAGTTTGTTGTTCAGTTTCTTTTTCAGAAACCTTTATTGTTTGAACTTTTAACATTTATTCTAGATCTGAGAGTTGATTATACATGTGTTTTATTATTAGTGAAGTTTTATATTTTTAGGGATTGCAGTATTTTTTGTATGAAAATTCTAGCATAGATATACAATATTATCTTTCTGTTATTATTAATGTGTTGTTTAATGCACCTGACTTTTTATTAAAATCCTGAAGAATAATCTGAAATGTTTTGGATGTAAAATAGCCATCAGTTGTTTGCGGGGAGGGGATTAGTTAATACTGAATTATACTTTCAAATCTGACTTGCATAATTAAGAAATACTTTTATAAATAAAGGATATCTTTTTTTCTTCTCCTTCTTCTCTCCCTATACTTTTCCATAGTGCCAAAATAGTAGTTCATCTTCATCCAGCTCCTTCAAACAAAGAGCCTGGCCCGTTCCAGAGTAGCAAATATTCCTACATCAAACTTTCTTTCAAAGAACATGGTCAGATTGAGGTTAGTGTCTGTACAGTACAACCAAATAAGTGAGATGTTTTGTCTCAAATATTTCTGTTCTCACTGTATTAGTGATAGATATGGAACTGTATGTATAAGAGTTCTTGTCAATTAATAAAGCATCACTACCAGCTAGCATTAAACCAAACTAAATAAATGGAATTACTCCATTGAAATTCAATCCATATGGCTAGATTAACATCATCGCATAATAACAGTAGCAGTAATAACTGAATTGTTCACATTTCTTTTTAAACAAATCACCTTTGGACAGTTAATGAGCCTGGTAATTTCAGACTCGTTAAGTGAAAGTTTTGGAAAATTATGAATATCTGAAAATATGTTTATAATGAAAATAAGTAATCATGCAAGTTTAATAATATTTATAGCTACCATTGAAATGTATACACTTGTATGGTCTGTAACATTTTTTGATCCTAAAAAAATCAAAAGTCCAGTACAAGTGTGGTGATTTTATAGCATTTGTTACTCAATGGAATTTGTTCTGTTCCTGAGATGTTAAAAATGCTCAAAAATATTCTACAAAACTTATGGTAATAGACTTTTTTTTAAAACATATGCAGTTCTATAGGCGATTGTCAGAAGAAATGACACAGAGAAGATGGGAAAACATGCCTGTTTCTCAGACCATTCAAATTAACAGGGGTCCACAGGTATTTACTAAATTCTTGATACTCTTTCTGTATGTTAGACTTCTCTTCATATTTGAATGCTTAGGTTTAGATCTCCTGTCTGTGTGTCCAGTATAGCTACCCTGTACCATGGCTCCTCCCCAACTCTGGCATTCTGCAATTAGAAATGGGGCATGGATGCTTCAATGTTGGCCTAAACTGGAGATGTTCTCTTGTAGTTCTCCCTTGCACTAGAACTAAGCAGCTGTGTGTCCTCTTCACTGCATCTAAGAAGAGTTCAGACACAATTGGGAACCTGCCCCTTAGATTGTATCGTTAAATACATTAATAATAGAGTTAATGGTATTCTTGGAGTGGTGCAAAACCGAGAACATTCTAATGCACGACTGAATATGGTATTTGGTGCCATTTGTAGTCTTTTAGACATGCCTCGGTATTGAAACTCACGATGTAAAATATTTGCTTTCTGTATAGAAACTTCTAAAATATGTGAGACATACAAAAGATGAAGGATGGCGTTTCAGCCTTCATTTTACACTTTCTAGCTTTTAGGATCTAGACTATTTTTGTTGCTTTAATATAGTTGCTTATAGCCTGTGTGCATCTTGTGTGTCAGTAGCTATGTTTTAAATGGACAATATTGATTATTGGAAATATCTTCAAGATATGTGCAATTTAAATTGCTTTCCTTCATCTGTTTCTGTATTTTGAGATCAAAAACTCTTTGGAAATATCATACTCTGTATTTGGAAACTGGTGACATTTTGGGTGCAGCTACCATATACAGGCAGTCCCCGAGTTACGCGGATCCGACTTATGTTGGATCCGTACTTACGAACGGGGCTTTTCTCGCCCCGGAGGATGCAGGCAGCAGGACCGCCCAGACGCGCCGCGGTCCCGCTGTCCGTGTCCTCCGGGGCGAGAAAAGCTGCTCCGCGTCCTGCGGATCCAACATAAGTCGGATCCGCGTAAGTCGGCGACTGCCTGTAATCTGTTCTGATCCAGCATGTCAATCTTCATGTTACATTTTTCCCTCTCTTTGTTGGTTAAAGTTTGTCTGCATAGGCTACAGAAGGGAGTCATCTTCAAATCTCTAGACAAAGAGAGACAAGGAAAAATGGTGGATAATTTGCTGGAGCTGAATCTACATTTATTACGTCAGTCTTATATACTGGGTGGCGGGGGGGGGGGGGAACGCAGCTAGTGTGCCCCCCCCCAGCAGACCAGGCTTTTGTTTTGGACCCTGGAGCAGAGCAGCTGGGGCGCTGCCGGTTGATCCCGCAGCGCCGCTCTGGGCACTACTGGACCAACCCGGCAGCACCCCAGCTGCTCTGCCTCGGGCTTCCTGATTCAGCTGCTGATCAGTTTCAGCAGCAGCTGACTTGGGGACGCTTGGGGTTCTTTAGTTGAATCTGTATGTAAGTCAGAACTGGCGGCTGAATCTGGACGCAAGTTCCGACTTAAGTACAAATTCAACTTAAGTACAAACTTACAGTCCCTATCTTGTACGTAACCCGGGGACTGCCTGTACTGTATGTAAGTTACAGTAGGGAGAATGGTGCTGATGAGAGAGAATAGGAGTGGGCAGAGTTGAAGTTTCTCATGAGACATCGATGATAAGATGTTGAGTGAAATGCAGGATTGGATAGAAATAGTCAGGAATAGAAAGGTAGATTTATGTAAAGATGGCAATTAAAGCCACAAGAGTGGATGAGATTACCCAAAGAAAAGGTGTAGCCTGAGAAAAGGAGGGTATCAAGGACCGAGCCTTCTGGAACATGGAGTTGGAGAAACTAATGAGGAGAGATGTCATAAAAGAACCAGAAGAGGATGCAAACTCAAGGGCTTCAGGATTTTAAAGGAAGGTTCTGTTTAGTGTCAAAATCAACAGGCAGGAAAAGGAAATGAAGATGAAGTTAGAGATGTGCAGGCTAGTCCAAGAAGAGGCTAATACATTTCACATGACTCTACAATTTAGTAAAAGGATATCAGTCTGTATGTTGCATGTATGTGTCATATATTATTTTTATAACATTATATATGTATAACATTATATATATATATATATATATATATAACATGCTGTCAGCAAATAGGGTGAAAGTCCAACTTTGTACCCTTCTAAATATCCCCTAAGGTAAACATATTCAAACTGTGATGGAGCAAGAGGAGAACAACAACCTCTTGAGTCAAGGATCCCCACTGAAAATGCTCTATCTCTAGGCTCGGTCCAGTTAGACTTGGGAAGTGTCAATTTGAGCATCCCAGCTTATTTGAACTGTCTCTGTATCATAACAAGAGGTGCTATGTAATATATGATTATACTAACAATTTAAATGGAGTGTCATGTAGTATTCTGCAATAAATCTATGCTCAGTATATATTTTTTTGTAAAACATTGTTGTGGATTGATAAACTATGACCTTGACTTAAGGAGTGTTTTTCGGGAAATAAGATGTATTATGTATTGTAGATCATTAACAATCGTTACATTTTACATAGTTCTTTGTGGGAAGTTTTCCTTTGTTGTAAATATAAATTATTTTACGGGGAGGAGGGTGAAAGAACCTTTAACATTTCCTTCCTTTTCTTTTCTTTTGCAGGCAGGAAGAATAAGGGCTGTAGGAATTGTAGGTATTGAGAGGAAATTAGAAGAAAAGAGAAAAGAGACTGACAAAAATATTTCTGAGGTAAATACTGCTCAAGTTTCAAAGTCAGCCATCTGCATGCCTTCAGACTTTCTTCTAGATGCAGCTGTGTACTTTTCAATTATAGAGAGTTTTGGACCTGTGAACTGATTACAGGTGTGTAACTCATAACTATATACTCTGTTTAACTGTCTTATCCCAGGTCTTTAGGAATATTTCATTTAAGTGCTTCTTTTCAAGAAGGACATTCATTGGAGTCAAATGCTTTGTGTGTTTATAATGTATATTTCAGTACAGTTGAAAGGCAATGTTCAATGGCCTTTCATTAGGGGAAGTGGAACAGAGAGTATTCTACAAAAAGGGAGCAGTCCAATAAGAATTGTTCTATCTAAGCAGGTCTAATTTGAATCAGTTGAAGATAAATGAATATCTAATCAGTATATTGTTTAAAATGGTTTTATATATGCAAATAATTATTGTACAGTACATGTATCTAACAAGCATTCATATTTTTAATGTTTATATGTTTATAATTATGCAAAACAAAATGTTATTAATCAGACGTCACAGTAATTTCTGCAAAAATATTGGCCAAAGAGGAAACAACTGCTTCCCCCATAGTTCAATTCAAGCTATTACATGTACAACAGAAGCTTATTCCTCAGCACCTCTCCTAATTCTCTTCCTCTTCTTAAAATCATTTTGACTAAGTGTTTTTCAACATTTTTGATATCAGAAACTGGCTTGCCACTTCCCTAAACAGTGTCAGGGAGATCTTAGAGACTGGTAGTTGAAAAACACTGTTTTAGTCAATATATTAAATGAAGCAGTCCCCAGGCTTCAAATAATCATCAAAGAGATGGATTTTTGAACATCAAGAAGTCCTCATAAATTAACTGTAACAGATTCATTCTTATGACAACTGTTCATATCACAACATAGCAAAATAAAAAAAAAATCACAGATGCAATTTACAGGATATTTGTATCTGCTTTGTGAACACCTGCACTGTGATCTTTTCATTATTGCTAACTTTAAATGGTTTTTTATTGTTTGGTCTGTTTTTTTCCCTATTTATGAGGAAAGTAATGAATGAAGTTATTTGTGTAGATAGTTCTAAAGGTATTGTCTGTCTGGTTATTTTTTTCCTCACCGACTTTGTAAGAGAGGTAGAAGAAATCCATTCGTGTGAGTTGTATGAGCAAAGGAAAAATGTGATTTGTGAAAGCCTGCCTTCCCCCAGCTTTTAATGTTATAAATGACTTAATTTCAAAAGTGCCCTTGCTTCCAGGAAAAGGTTTCCTGCATCTGCTGTTCACTGCTGATAAGAATCCAGTTCTTTAGCCTTTTGTTTATCTGAGGAAGTTCCTGTTAGGTGTGTGCACATTCCCTTTTGTTTCCAAGCCTGCCCTCTGAATCTGAGAAAGGAGGAACTATACACAACATGCCATTTATTTAGCTAAGTCAATGATTTTTTTAATGGATAATGCTTTCATGCATGTGGTTGAGATTGGAATTAAACCAATAAAAGCCTGGATATAAAAACTGTTTGTTAATATTATAATTCAATATGGTACAAGTTCGCTAGTGTCTGAGACTAGGGATGTGAATGACTAGTCAACTATCCAATAAGCAAATACTTATCAGATAGTCAACACTGTAGGCGACTAGTGTCTTCTCCCCCCCACCCTTGCCTCTATAAGAAAGAGGCAGCAAGGAGGAGGGAAAAAGAGGAAGGGGTGATTCAAAGCGGCAGTGCCACGTGAAGCCCAAGGCCACACCCTGGGCTCCATGCAGCGCCTCTTTGAAATGCCACATGCTTAGGGTCAGCTGGGGACGCTGCCACTTTGAAATGCGGCAGGGAACACAGGGCCAGTGCTTTCACCTTTGAAGTATAGCAACTGCCCTGGGGCTGTTGCTACACTTCAAAGGCAGAGGCAACTTTATCAGCTGATCAAATAGTTGATGCAAATTGCATTGACTATTCAATTAGCCCATTAATCTAAATTTAACATTCCTATCTGAGACATGCATTACAAATTATTGTGTGTGTACTAGAAAAGACAAACTGAGCGAGGTAATATGTTTTATTGGACCAACTTCTGTTGGTGAAAAGGATGAACTTTTGAATTACACAGCACTCCACTTCAGGATTAGGAAGAGTCTACTTTAGAGTAGATCTTTAATTTAAAAATGGAAGCCATGCTTTTGATACCTTCAGATTAGTTTAGACTATTAAATTGTTCATAAATTGGGACCATAGGCTGGCTATATTTGTGGTCTGTAGAAGTGTTCTAGCTGGGTTAGCCATCTTTATAAAAGGAAGGAGCTACCCTCACACAACTATAGAATCATAGAGCTGGAAGAGAGCTCAGGAGGTCATCAAGTCCAGCCCCCTGCCCAAGGCAGGACCAATCCCAACTAAATCAACCGAACCAGGGCTTTGTCAAGTCGAGACTTATCTGTGAGAGTTCAGGGACTCTCCACATGCATTTACACACATGGTCCAAAATAGTCCAAATTTGATGACAATTTAGGAACACATTGCGAAAGCCATTTATTAGAGAGGATTTTGAAGGAGGATTGTCCCTGAGAGGGTGGAAGTGCCTTTCTGTGTCATTGATATATCAGACAGGCTAAATTCACATTTTTCATGGGTATGATTATTTTTATGCTGATGGGTGGTCATGTTATGTATTTGTAAGTCTGCTATTTACTAACATACTGAAAGCGTATATTTGTTTTTTATTATTTAAATAAAGCTTTAATTTTTTCTTATTTTATCTGTTGTCATATGCTCCATATAGCAGTTTTGTATTTGAGAACGCCACAGCTTTATTAAAGTAACTTTTATTTTAAAAACTCCTGAAATAAATCATTGTCCTTCATGGAAATCCAAATGTTTACATGTTTTAGTGGGAAAGTTCCATAGAAGTTCATTGTAGTTAAAATCAGATACTTTATAGAAATATTGTAATTTCCCCCTGCTTATATCAGATCTAGCAAGTACAGATATTTCACAGGGTGCCTTTTATCTAATAATCCTTCTCATAAACCTGATTTCAACCAAGTCTTAATTGGGACACTTGTTTTGTGTCCGCATAATTTAGTTAATTTAGACATTTGTGCACCTAATTGCTCTGAAAATCATGTATTTAGATACACAAGTTTTGCCCACAAATAGTTTTAAAGATGTGTCTTTTTAGTTAATAATTGCGTGACACAAACCTCGTAATCCATCTCCCTTGCTATTTCCAAATAAACTGTGATCATGCCTGCTATCTTAGCAACATCTACTGATAAAGGCAGACTTGTGATGTCACAAAGTCATTTCCACAGTTGCACTATGGTTTCTTCACTGGCCAAAAATAGTGTGTGTTTTTTGTGTTGATAATAAATAACAAATATACCTAATGTTGTTAGCAAGAAAGGGGTAAACTTGATGAATTTATTTGAATTTATTTCAACTCTCAGTATCTTGTTCTCTTTCAGCTCTGTTATTTATATTTTGCAAATCAGTACTGTATTAAGTAGAAATTTAGTCTTTGTCTTCCATGCAGGAAACCATAGGATTGTTTACTTCCCTGTGTATTTTCTGTGGTCCTTGCCTTGTTTGATTTTGATTATAAGCGCTCTGGGAAGGAAAAATGCCTGCTTGTAAACAGGGCATGAATTTATAACTCTAAACTGTTTGAAATGATAACATGCCAGGCATTAGGTGTCCTGATATTGTTCAGAATTCTTGGTGCTTGGAAAGATAACTAGAAAAATTACTTCATTAAATAATTTAATTTCCTTGAACAGACTATATTATAATGTCCATTTTTCATTTTTAGGCTTTTGAAGATCTCAGCAAGTTAATGGAAAAGGTAAGGGATATCACATTTATCAACGTATTTATCAATTTATACCAGTTACCTAACTTTTAACCAAAATGTCTGACTATACTGCTAAAAGCTGACATGTTTGTGTGTGTTTTGGTAGGCCAAGGAAATGGTGGAGTTATCCAAGTCAATAGCTAACAAAATTAAAGAAAAACAAGGTGACATCACCGAAGATGAGGTAATATGCTTTTTTCTATATTTGACAAAAATGCATTTTGTGAAATCACTATGTAAACTAAACAATATTCATAATATAAGTAAATAATATTTTTCTAATGTCCCATTGGTTTTTTTACTTTTATTTAATGAAAAGCTTTCTTTATACAAGACAACTGAGCAGTGGGGAAAGAAAAGGCCTTGTTTCAAAAATAACAAGTATGAAGTGATTACAGGATGTGCATGTCTCTTCCCCTCTTTCCACTTAGTTTGCTTTAAAAGGGGTTGGAAAAACTAGCTCCATTAATTAGGAGATGGCAACAATTTTCTGTTTCTTTTGGAGATTTCAGTGTCCTTTATACATTTCTGAAGAGCTTTGTAGAGCTTGCTACCATTTTGATAAATTTATATTTGCCCTATAATTGGCATTGTGTATTTTCAGACCTCCCAGAATATGTTAAAGACTACTGGAGAAATAAAAGTGTAAAAGATGTATTTTGTTTTTTTAGAAAAAAAAAAAAACAGGACTGTGAAATGACTGGTACAATTTACTTTTCTTTTTATGTAGACTATCCGGTTTAAATCGTATCTGTTGAGCATGGGTATAGCTAACCCAGTTACTAGGGAAACGTATGGATCTGGCACACATTACCATATGCAACTGGCAAAACAATTAGCTGGAATACTACAGGCACCGCTTGAGGTAAATCACCTGAGATGCTCTTGTTGTGCATGTTAATGAGTTTTTAATGCAGTGTGTTTCATTATCATGGGTCTTGAAAATGAGTCTCTTCAACCTAGGACTTCAGCAATGCAACCTGAAATTCATCTTTTAGAGGAGTAGTCATATGCCTTTTAAGAACATTTATTCTTTCTCAGCAGAAATAGCTAAAAGGAATTATGAGAATTTATATTTGTATTATTGATTTCTTATCTTAGTTTCTGGTCTCAATTAGTAGTCTTCCCTTTACCCCCCTCTTCCTCCAAGGGCCCTGTATATGCTGTGACTACAGAATTCACTACCTGACACAGCTACTACTTTAAAAAATATGTTTCTGATCTGTATGGTTGTAATGCTAATTTTGAAAAAATGAATAGTGCATAAATCAAGAGTTGTCTTCCTTGACACACAGGTATGAGCAGCCCCATTAAGCGCAAAAGGGTTGTTAACTCAAAAACCTAAAAATAACAGTTTCTGTGTAAACTTCATATATATCATTGCTATAATACAGGTTATTATACAGATTTTATTATCAGTTTTTCTTTTAAATTAAAAACATATTGAATTCATCTGAACCTTGCCTGTTTGAAAAAGGATCTGCGCATCCACTATATATGTGGAACTCTCATATTATCTCTTATGGTTTTTTTACTTTACATTATGACCCTGTGTAAGTTGAAAAAACAGAAGCTTGATATATTGGTTAATAGATTTAATATAATTAAATTCCATATACTTGTACTCTGCGTATTTTAATCTTCAAATAATTTACAATTTTCTTGAAGTTTAAAATTGATATTCTGCATTTTGAAATTATTGAAGAAATTACAATTTGAAGATTGACCTATAATTTAAATACCATTGATCTTGCCTGTATAGATTTTTAACAAGTTCATAGTTTATCTTTTCTGCTTTAATATGTCACGTAGTGCTTAAAACTTTCATCTCTCCAAATGTTTTCATATGCAAAATAGCGTACTCTGTGTTCTAGATTAATACAGTTTCATTCATTGGTTTCATGTTTCCACAGGAACGAGGGGGAATAATGTCACTTACAGAAGTGTATTGTCTGGTAAATCGGGCTCGGGGATTGGAGGTAAGGGACTAATTCTGTGATACCAACTAGATTTTTGTCAAAGAATAAGGTATTCTAAAGTAAGAAGTGTCAAATCTTTAACTGTCCTTTATATCTAGTCGAACTGCTTAAAATTAAGGCTGCATTGCTGTTCTAGTAATGGAAAATAGAGTTTTTTTGGGGGGTGCCTTGTCTTCTCTCTGCTAATATTGTATCTTTGTTCATCTTCTATAGTATGTCATTGAGGGATGTGAATAAATAATCAACTAGTCAATTAACTTATAAGCCTAGGCTTATCGGTTAATCTAGTCAACTACTTGCATCCCCCCCACCTTGCTGCCTCTGTATCAGAGGCAGCAAGGGGAGGGAGAAGCGAGAGCCGGCTTAAAAGCCAGTTCCCCCCAGCATCGCTCCACGGTGCCACCTTCTCCCCTCCTCCTACAGCAGCAACATAGGAAGGGGGAACAAAGGGAGGCTGCTTCGCAGCAGCAGTCCCTGTCTGCAGGGGTCCAACTCCCTGCAGACAGAGGCTGGAGCAGCCTCTATCCCCAGGGAGCTTGGGCCCTCTGTGGACGGGGGCTGCTGCCAGAGCAGCCTCTGTCCATGGCCAGCCCTGGCCACTGAGGACAGAGGCTGCTTCAAGGCAGCCTCCCCTACCACCTCCTCCACAGGGAGCTGTGTTATTTTTTCATCTAAGATGTCTGTTGTGTTTTGAGGGTGTGCAATACTATATATTTAACATGTAAAATGTGAGTAAATATGTTTTTTTTTTTAATTAGTTGCTCTCTCCAGAAGATTTAGTAAATGCTTGTAAGATGTTAGTGGCACTGAAATTACCCTTAAGGTAAGAGTCCTTCATGTGCATTTCTAAATTAATTTTCACATGTGGTAGTGATGTCATTGTGTAGACCAATATTTCTCAACCCCTAAGGGGTACTCGAGAAAAGTCTGAGGGGTATGTCAACACAACTGAAATTTGGAGAAAACTGAATTTTTGTTTTAAGTTTTACAGCATTTTATTATTTTTTGTACTTTTTACACCAAAAAGTTTAATCACCTCCCCGGCTACAATTAAGGTCTTTAAACAAACGTGGTGCAACGGTAGAAAAAAATGTTGTGTCTGAAAACTATAGGTACTTATAATTTTTTTTTAAAGGGGTACTTTGTTTAAAAAAAAAAAAGTTGAGAAATACTGGTGTAGACGATTACATGATTAACCAATAAGCCTAGGTTTATTTAGTAATCTTGTCGACTACATGCATTTTGCCCCACCCAGCCAATGACCGCAAGGAGCTTGTTTAAAAGCTGGCTCCTCATGAGCATTGGCTCTGCCTTCCTCCCTTACCCCTGCACTCCTGCCTCCTGATAGAAAGGCAGTGGCGTGGAGGGAGAAGAGGGTAGGCTGGAGCCAATATGCACAGGGAGCTGGCTTTCAAGCTTTAAAGCCAGTTCCCCGTGCGTATAGGCTCCCACGGACCGGCCTGCTCTCCCCTCTTGTGGCCTCCTACACTAGCGGGGGAGGGAGGCAGGAGCCGGTGTTGGGGGTTCCACGAGGAGTAACAGTAGTTCGGAATAGGAAGCCTAATCCGAACTACCTAGTTCGTGCCGCGTGTAGCCGCGGGCACGGAGTCTGAACTAGCGGACATTTAAAAATGGCGGTGCCCGGCAAAATGCAAATGAAGCCCGAGAAATTCAAATCCTGGGCTTCATTTGCAACTCCGGTTGCCTACATTAACCACCCTAGTTCGAACTAGGGTGGTAGTGTAGACATACCCCCACTGTTCTCCTACCAATAGGGATGAGTTTGGCCCCCACAAGACTCCCCATGCAACTATCCTGCAATTGCATTAACCCAATTTACATTGCATTAACTCGGGGGGAGGGAGAGCGGGAGAGGCTGGAGGAAGTGTTCCCTCGAAGTTTTTCCTCCTGTGAGCAGAGCGAATTTTGTCTTGTGTTTCAGTATTGAGTTCATGTGGTTTGTTTGGATGTTTGTGCCATTGTAGCACCAAATTATTAATAAATATCTTATAAACCTCTCCCTTTTTCCTCTGCTGCCATGTCTCCTACCCTCCCCTTGCTCCATCTGCTCTCCTAGTGCCTGCTGCCTCTGTTGTCCTTCTCATTCCCCTCAGCCCTCCTGGGACCTGCCCCCCTTCCCTGTACCAGCCCGTCTCTTCCCCCTGTGTCCACTCCTTCTTTAGCCCCATTCTGATCATCTGTAGCTACCCCTCCCCCATCCCCTCTCCTAACACCTCCCTCTATCCACCTGCCCTGCCTTTCTCCTCTGGTGCCCGTTCCTCCCATCCAAGTGTCTGCCCTTCTGCTTCACCCCCACAATCCCCTGGCACCTGCATCTTCCCTTACCCCTGCACCTTTCTGGTGCCTCCCCTTCCCTGACTGCCTCTGCCCTCCTTGCCCTCTACTCCCTGGTACTCACCAGCTTACCACCCAGTGCCCCACTTCTCTTCACACCCCTTTGTGCCCTCACCCATGACTTGCGCCATTCCCTGCCTTCCTCATGCCCAAACCTCCTTTCAACTTCTCTTCTCAGGACACCCACTTCTCCCCTCTCTTCTTCCTCCGTCTTGCCCCCATTGTTCCTCCCCTTTCCTCTCCCAGGATCACCCTGTCCCCTCCCCTCTCGCACCCCCATTGACACCTTCCGTTCCCTCCCCTCCCCTGCCCTTTTCCTCATGGTCTCCTCTTGACCCCCTGGCATTTGTCTCTCCTCCCCGCTGCCCCTTAGTGCCTCCCCCTTTCTTTTCCTGTCCTGCCACCCTCCCCTTAGCACAAGCCCCTTCTTCTCCTCACCCCCCTTCCCTCATCTACTGCCTTCCAATGTGCAGGGCTGGAGCCTGCGATCCGGTCCCAGAAACCCCTGTGGCCCCTATCCCAGTTGCTCGCTTGCCAGGATTGTAGCCGGGGCTGCCAGTGGTGCCATTTTTAATGCTACAGTCCA